ATATCAGCCAGATAAAGAGGTGTACGAAAGTAAATCTGTAGCGTTTGAACTGTGTTAAGAGGACACAAAGATTTATCCCTAGAATGATACGCGATGCTATTGAAATTAAAAAAACATCCGGATTTTATTTGAGATGAATATTGGATGGCATATACCATCGGCTTGGGGTCCAGTAATCAATCAAATAAAATTTCAACCCAGATCACACATTGCAAAACAAAACCTGTAAATATTAAATCAAAGTGAGCATTCACTTTTCTTGTCGGAGTTTGTTTCGCCAGTTCTACTCCGACAAGGTTCCAAAATTTGGAACTGGTGGTACATTACGGGGGGTAACTAAATAAGTCAAAAGTATTTTTAAAACATTTCAATTAATAAGTCTAAATGTATCCATAAAATATATAGTTTTTTTGTATTGTGAATGTGTCCAATAGTATTGTTTTGAAGGTAGCTTGATGATACTCCTAATTAAAAGACAATCAACACCTTAGTCTTATGTGAACACGGAACCTATTAAGGGTCCGAACGTCAATAGAACTAAATCAATATCAATAAAACCTTTTGATACGCGATTTTTAATTGATTATTTTCTTATAGTCTAAATTATGTAGTTAATTCAACAAACAGAAAGTCAAATCAAAATGAATTAATGACAGGGAAAGAGCATAAAAAGAATAACTTGAAAACATTGAATTATACTTCGTACCTTCTTTTTGACTTGGTTAGTTTTATAAGGTAAAACTTTTATTATATCGTTTAAAGAAGATATATGATCATAAGTTGACAGTTTTCCTCCAGTTGTAAGATGGATTTTAGAATGTAAAAAACTTACTCTTGGAGTACCTCTAGGGTTGCTATATTTTGATAAATAAAAGTAAAGGTATTTTATAATTTTTTGAAAAAGAAATCCACGCTTCGGCATGAATGGGCCGACTCGACCGGAGTGATACCACGGCCTCACAGAAAACCGACGTGAAGCAACGCTTGCGTTGTGTTTCATCGTGTTAGTGAGGGTACCGAAGGCCCAACCCCTCCCTATTCCCTTCCCTCTATCCCTCAACCCTTCACTCCAAGGCCGGCAGCGCGCTTGTAGCCCCTCTGGTGTTGCAGGTGTCCATGGGCCCATCACCATCAGGTGATCCGTCTGCTCGTCTGCCCCCTATCCCATAAAAAAAAATGTATTTACTAATTTATTTATCTCTGTAGTAGAAAAACTCTTAAAAACTTCAATGGATTTTAAAGAATTTAAGTATTTTCCTTTAAAGTCATTATCACTATAAATTTAATATTTATCAGATGGGTTTAAAATTTTGAACTTTTTTTATTATAAACCGTGCGTATACTTATTAAGTTTGTTTTAAAAAAAAGTAAAACTTCAAACTCCTTTATTTTAACGGGTGATAAATATATTACAGTATAATGGAGACGATGTATGAAATGTCAAATGGATACAGTATAAAAATATTAGGAAGAGACTAATCTATTTATTTGAATATAAAACATCTTGATCAATATTTTTTATTAATTTTGCATACAATTTATTTTTGTACTAAGTAAAATATTTTGATGATATAATATATATTCTACCTTAATTAAATATTGGTTGACAGCCCTTAAACACTGTCCCGGCCGTTAGGTATTTAGCCGCAATAACACGTTTTTTCCGTCGATCCACCACGTATGCATTGACGCTAAGCAATCTGATCCATATTATTCTTTGTCCTATCCGAAATGCTAATAAGTGATGATGCAACAAACTACATGACTTTCGTAGCGACTATAAAATATTATTTATTATCATTATTTATAATGATTGTTTATTCAATGAGTCCACCATAATATTGGTTATTGAATCTAGTTCTATAATGTTTTTCTACGGCTATTTTTGTAATATTATCCTGGATGTACTCTTACAGAGTTGTTTTACATAATTATTTATTCTCACGATACCGTTATTGTGTTTACGAGAAGGCATTTGTGTTCTGTGTTATTATTTATTATTTTGGTCTTGTAAATAGTTGTTTCAATGTCATTTTTTTATGAGATGTGAAATATATGGTTAAAATATAAACACAGATATACGAGTAAATGCCTAGATTCTGAATCGCTCGCGTCCTTTGAACTAAGAAGCTTGCTAAATTTTTTAAGCTCTTTATCAAACATTTAATAAATAAAGACATTAGCAAATAAAGACATTATTATTATTATTATTGTCTAACCAAAGGCCTTATTATGCTATTCTGTTGCAAATTTGCCTTGAATTTGATGTTGAAGACTGAGTTGTCACAACATAGAGCTTCAATGAAAAAATACATAGTACCTTTTGATGTGAGTTTTATATGATTGAACCTCAATACTGTGCTCGATTTGGGGTTGTTTTTTATTACAGAAGAGCCCCGCTGATTAATATTTGACTAATAACCTAAACACTAATTTTACTTTGGCGAAATAATGTCGTTAAATTGTCAAATTGTCAATTTATTGAGCAGTTGACACCATCTTTATTTTCTATTCTGAGTTCCGTTAGTTATAGTAAGAATATATTCTGGTGATTTTGAAACTGTTTAATTGTATCCTTGGAATCAAAATTATTGTTGCATTTAAAATAGTATTTAAAAAAAAATGGATTTTAGAAAGCAATGTAAATGCGATTATAAATTGTTTATTTTTAAAAAATATCAAAATTTAATATAAACATCTTTTAAATCTTTATTAAAAATATATAAAGTTAAATATACATAAATAAAGGCAAAATATGCTTCCGCGTCAATAAATAATTGTCAATTCATTCGAAATAACTCGACTAGTTTGATTATTATTCGCATGTAAATAAAAAATTTTAGAATTACAAAAAAACTTAATGTAAATATGTTTTTATAATGGAAAATGATTGCGGAAAATATGTTTTATTACATCCTAACTAATGTAGTTTATTCGTAAATGTAACTAATCTAGATGTTGCATCATTGCGGTTCTCGCTCAATCTAATCGATTGTTGCGTTAATCGATTTTTCATTCATTTTGATTTATCATTTCGATCGCATGATTATCACTTCTTTGTTAATTTACTCTTAAAAACAAGTAAAAAAGAAGATAATTAAGCAATTCAGGGTTGACAGCAAAAACTCAAACGGCACTTAAAAGAGTTTACAATATAAAAAACTTATTGATTTCTCATATTTTCACGCGCACTATTTATAAATGAAACAACTTTTGAACGGATTCAACGCGTTTGTGTTTAGTTTTATCGACGTTACGGACCCGTTACAGGTTCGGTGTACATATAAGACTATGGTGTCGATTGTATTAGTCTTATGTGAACACGGAATCAGTAAAAGTTCTTTTATTAATAACAGCTTTCAATTTTTATTGTCAATGACTGTTATGTAGGACGCACACAAAGCAATATAAATACAAATAGTGACGAGGAAAATATATTAAAAACAATTCATATTATTTAAAAAGATTAGAGAAATCGTACGACGTTATTAGTGCCTCATTACCTATCGTCACCTTTCAGTTCCATCATCAGATTCTTGTTATAAGCTCGGATTTATGTCCTTCTCGAGACAAAACAAGCTGTTTCAGGGGGTTGTTCCGTTTTCATCCTATGACGTCTCATCGTATGCATTATTTTTTCCTGGCTCATCCTATTTTTGTTCTTCACTCAACCCACAACAATTTATTTTAATTAATTTTAAGGGTGGATTGTATTGCACGTTTACATTGTCTCAATATGTTTTACGTTGTCTCAAATAAAGTTATGTTTTTAATAATAATTAAGTTATGTGCAAATTTTACTAGCATTTGTCACAAATTTGCCTTCTCATACATTCTTTGTAATAAAATCGTTTTCATGACTTAAGTTTTATTTTATGAACACTTAATATGACATACCTAATATTAAAAAACTTATCGCTACCGGTAGCTATACATAATTGGAAAAAATCCAAGTATCCCTACCAGTGGGGATTTGTCAGTTGGCATATGTGGAATAGGGGAAAAAAATACTGTCTCAGATAAGTCACGCAATTAAATTGAAGATGTACAACATTTCTTGATGTAATACGAACACAGATGAGAGGGAGTCATTTATAAAAGAATTTAAATTAAATGTTTTAGATATTGGATAAATTCAAAGTATTTTAGCAGTCTAAGTCTATCATAGTACAAAATATATGTAAATTACTGATAAATTGAATATAAACTGTAGTAAATACTATAAAAACTTCTCTAGTGAAATATTGTCATAAAGCAGTTGCTCGGATTGCAAAAGGTCATGGGTTTCACTACCAGGGGTTGGTGGAATTTATAAGCATTTTTTATTAAGAATGATTTTTACTTTATTGAAATTCCCGTTTATTTGTTTTGCTCGAGTAATTTCTTCTACTCTTATACAGATGTAAGTATCAATCATAGCAAATTGAATATAAGCTTTTTTAAAAAAAAATTAAGCGTATTTTTTCTATTAATATTGCTACAGTGTCACTAATAATTCGAATACAAAAAATAACATTTGCAAAACTAACATACGATTCACACTCGGCGACTTATGGAATCAATTGTTATGATAGTAAAATATTTCTTTGTTTCACTTTAAAAAGGAAAACAATGCTTAAGTGGGTGTGAGAAAAGATCTTGGCTAACTTAAATAGCAAAAGTTGGATTACTGTTTCCTTTTAATAAAACGTTTTTATGTCTGCTGATGAAACTTTTTCTATTTTTCAGCTTACATTAAGGTTATTTTTTTTGTTGAAATACGTTTTTCGATTTTGACGTGATAATAATTATTTAATTTACAAAATATCCATAATTTTCAGAAAAAAATATTAAACACTTGTGTTTTCTCTATGGAATCCAAAATGGTAATATCATTATACTTATTACATTTAAGTTAATATATTAAATGAAAAATATTTCTATGCAACCAACCTTTTTATTTCCAATTAAAAAAATAGTATACCTGTATATACAAAAAATATTTTGACTTTTATATAACTTCAAATGCCTTGCTTAACAGATTTGATTTCTTCAGTCTTGTAAACGAATATGAACCAAAACAAGCCAGACGTCAAATAAAACAGTTGCAATGGCGCATTAATTACACCGTAAGCTGGATTCAGGAAGTAACCCAGAATAATTATCAGGGAGCATCTGGTCAATTCGTATGCAGGAGCTCGCGGTGACGCATCCAGTATCATACCAAACACTGTCAAGGAGCCGAGGATGTACAAAGTCAGTACGAGTACTGTGAATGGCGGCATCATCTGGAAAAAAAAGTGTCATTCAACTAAAAGTGGCTAGTGCATTCTGTTTGTACTGCGTTGAGATTTAAAGCAAAAAATAAATTATAATTTTGACGTTAAAAATATTTTTACATTACTAAATCTACTTATTTGATTATCACGAACATGGTTAATTAGATAAACCCATAGAAGATATAGATAGGTAATAAACACATTGACCAAGAAACAGATTCACCCAATCCCAACGTGGAGGTCAATGGTGACTTGTATGGACCAACGACTACAGATGCATTCCACAGCACTCAGAACGCATTTTAAGATCGAGTACACCACGAGGAGTTGGGAGAAAAAATATTTGGTCACTCTTCCTCTGATCGCTTGTTGCTTTAGTTGCTTTATCTTTACATTGCCGAGCAAACTATGGAACTCCTCAAAGCAACTCCCTCTTAGTAAGAGAATCATGATGGGAGATCTAGTGGCGAGAGCTCGATGGTGCAATGGCTAGCATGCTCGACCTGCGGTTGATAAGTAACTTTCGCAATGGTGCTTTGGAAGATTCGTTAAGTTGTTAGTCCCGGCTGCAGCTCTAGTGTCAACAACCACCAATCCATCCATTGGGGAGTCCTCAGCCCCAACAGGGGGGATATTAATAGGTGATGAAGAGAATAATAGAGCCATAATTTAAAGATGTAATTTTTATATGCAAGCAGTGCTTTTTATTAACTCACCGAATGAATTGTGAATAGATGATGGAATCCAAAGAGGACCAGAGCGTAATGAGTGAGCAAATACACGCTACACCATCTTGGCAGAATGACGTCATATTTGATTCTAGTATGGATCGCCGGCTGAAAAATTGAGTAAATAAATTAATGTTGGACAACAAAGACAACATACCGTACATGGCTTGGTTACTAAGTTAGGTATCTAAGGCCTTGTTTGTTTAAAATCTCAACCAATAAAAGTAAAATACAAACAAGCTTAAAGGTACACGATCTTTGGTCAGTAGAGATATTTTGAAAAGCAGACTGTCTTTTTGGGGACTGATAGTTTGTATCTCGTTCATTTGCCCGTCAGCTTTGAAGTTAGTAGATTAATAAATACCTGCTCCAGCAAATGTAGAAATTCTATCCATAAGTGGATGAAATAGGTGTTTAAAGTTTGTATGAAATACTTTCATTTTTGAACATGATACATTATTTTGGGTTGATAAGTTAAGATTCACTCGTTTAAGACGTTTGAAAAAAAATTAATTCACCGCTGGAGGAAAGCTAGTCATACGAATGTTATAAAAAGGAAAAATTGGTGAACACTTCCTTTCATCTACGGGAAACTACATCATACACGGGTGACTTTTACCCATTTATACTTAAGGTTCAACGACGATTTAAAGCTTTAATATTTTAAATTTGAAATTTTGTATCGTAAATGTTATTTTAAACTACTTCGATTTTACTGACAAGTTTTGATATTAACATAACATATTTTAAATTTGGAAGGAAGGAAGGAGACGTATTCTTCTGCTTTATTTAAATTGAACATAAAGATCCTGATTAAGAACTAGCATTTTAAATGACATCAGTATGTATAGTCGACTTTAATATATATTTTTATAATCTTACGTCTTCAGCCATATCCTTGAATCTTATAGCATTCTCAGGCTTCCAGCTCGGTCTGCTGAATACAGCCCTCAGTTTGTGTTCCCAGTTGTTGTAGCTGTGGAACCTGCTCACCACATATCCAGTGTAGAAAGTCTGCAAAATCGAGGATTATTATGACTCTTTTCTCTCTCCCTTTCTTTGTTATTATGGATAAGTATTTCTATTTTGGTTATAAATAATTCTCATGATAATTAAGAAATTGTTTTGAAGATTGCCAAACAAGTTTAAGATTGTTTAAACCTTTATATTACCAAATAAAAAATATTTTCATCATATAAATGAAGATATTTATCATTATCTCTCGCTCTTCTGTGTTTCGATATACGGTATACTTTTTTCCCGCCCGTACTTGCAGTCTTTAATACCCACCAATCTGAATAGGGGCCGCGTAGTAGTCGTAGCCCGTTCTCCTTATTTGATTAGATTGGATCTAGGAAGACCTGAACCTCAGGAGTGGAGATATATATCTGATGCTGGTAAAGATCATGATGATTAATAATATTATGAACAATGGCATAACTTTCTTCGATTGATTGATTGAGTTTAATAAAACTGATCTGAAAGAACTAATTCGTCAAACTTTGACTGAAGTAATATCAGTTAGTCTATTGAATAATAGTTGACAACGAACCTGCAAATGAAGTGGGTTGAAAGATGGTTGGTTATATATTAGTCCGTAGACAATTCTATCACCTTCCTTTTCTGGTCTAAATGTGCCGAAGAGTTTATCCCAAATAATTAATACCCCACCGTAATTCACATCGATGCAGTAAGGATTACTACCTGAAAATTAAAAACAAATGTGAATAGATCAATCTGCATGATAATCTTTGTGAGTAAATGAAAGTCTCTTTGATATTTATTAGATTATTGAGGGTTAAAGACTTCTATATAATTTATTTGAAAAACTAAGTTGGTATTTTGCAATAAAATTTATAATTAACTAATTTTTTGCACTTATTAATGTAACTCGTATAGTGACAGGCGTATAAAACGTATTCGATTATTTGTACAATCAACGACATTTCATGTCACATTATACGAAACTGTCAAATTTTTCTGCTTGATTTTAAATAATAGGAATTAGTGTACAAAATTAATGGCATTTACTTTACATATTTTGGTTAAAATGACTCTTATTGGATATAAATATTGGAAGCTCGGTGGCGTAGTGGATAAGCGCCACGGCCCGCGATCGTAGTCGTTAAGCAACTTTCGCTAGGGTCGGTCACGGGATGGGTGACCAAAAAATTATTATCTCGAGCTACTCCGTGCTTCGGAAGGCACGTTAAGCCGTTGGTCCCGGCTGCATTTGCAGTCGTTAATACCCTCCAATCCGCATTGGGCCAGCGTGGAGGGTCATGGCCCATCCTCCTTAACCATCCATAAGGAAGGCCTGAGCCCCTGCAGTGGGGACGTAAAAGGGCTGGTGGTGGACTCTTATTTATTCCACAACTTTAACAGGTTGATTAGTAGCTGACGTTTACCAAGATTTTCTATCCTATATAAAGAAACATATAAACGAAATTAATTTCAAAAGAATTCTCATAATATTTTTACGACATTTTCAATCGCTTTGACATTAGGTAATCTTAAAATGGATTGTCACCAAGAAGGACTGAAAATAAGTTTTTTTGTTTTATAACTTATTTTGATGGAAAAAGTACGTAGTTCCAATCAGGATCCCTAGGCAACTTGATACGTCGAATTACCGATAATGGAATTGAATGGAACCGACGACTGGATATCGATATCTCCAACTGTAATTATTTGAAAGCCTTGCAATACCACCGTATTGCGGAGCCTGAAATGAGATATCTACTATCCAGAAGCTGTGTTTACGCATAAAAATATAAAAATAAACTTCAACTTTAACAATTATAGAAATTGTTAAAGTTGAAGTTTATTTTTATGAGCACTTGTAAAGTGAAAAAAGTGTTCACTGTTTTTTTTTTTAAATACTGTGTCATTGGAATCGTTTATGAGTATATTTGTTTCGCTTTTATTCCATTTTTACTACATATATGTATCACATAGTAGAAAATTGGATAAATGCGTGTGAGAGATGTGGGGTGCTAAATTCGCCGAGTTAGTACGAAATCAAGTAAAGCTTGAATTACTCGATGTTATTATAAGAAATCGATTCTGCTATATATTGGTTGTTCCAAGGAAAATATGCTAGCTACGTCCATTTTCAAAAGTTATTTTAGTTTAAAATTTACGTTACTTGAAGCTTACAACTCTTTTGGGATACGAGTATGAACATAATATAAACTAGCTGTTCCGCTACATCCTAGTAAATTTAAGCCTATATCATCGGCAGTGAAAGGATTTTTAAAAACAGCTGGAAGTTTTGAATTTTATTCAATGCAAGAAACAAACAAACATTACATATTTAAAATATTAGTGTAGGTATATACTATGCTACGATATTTATATAAAAAATATATTCTTACCGTGATGGATCCTGTGATGGCTTGGAGTGTTAAAGATGTACTCCAGAGGTCCGAGGGTCTTGACGGATTCAGTGTGGATCCAGAACATGTACAGGTAGCTGAACTGGTGATGCAGCACGAACTGCGCAGGCGGGATTGCCAACGCAAGTGGCACGTACATCAACTGGCAAATGTAATTAAACGATAAAGTGTTGTCTGCGGTCTGAATTAAAAACTTTTTGTTGTTATTATAAATAGCAAAATGGCTAAAATTTAATATTTATAGATTATCACCGAGGTATGCTGTGAAACGGTTTATTTTATAACGCTTATTTTTATGCATAAATATTCATTTTCACATTTAGAAAACCAAAATCAATATTACTTTGTAATATTGCAAACAATATGAAATTCAAAGAGGTTTTTGCTAATCTATGCTGGTTTCTACAGAATTCAACTTTTAAAAAAGTACTTTTTTTCCAAATCCTGGAATCTGTTTATGCACCGAACACATAACATGTAAAATAAAGGTAAAAAAAAATTGAATCTCGCAATTAATATTAAAAGTATATATATGAAAGTATGAATTGAAATGATGACAAATGAAATGAGTTAATTTATCATAGTTTATAACTTTAACGGTAAACCCATGTACGCTACACGATGTCTTTATTTAAGTTGCCTTTTGAAGAAACTTTATATCTCTCCTCACTTTGGAACTATATGGAGTGAAGTCTTACCAACTCATTTCCGCTAGCACAAAGTTACTACTTTTTTCACATCTGGGATCTTAAAGTTCTCAATAACAACAATACAACGGAAGGTTAGTCCCGTTGCGGCCAAAGTTTACCAGCAATGAAATGGCTGTGCAATCTTGGAAAACGTAAAAGTGAAAAGTTCAACAATGTTATATTGTATCATTCCGGATGTGATGAAATGTCGAGTTCTTAAACACATTTCGCAAACTGTATTTAAGGAAAATGAAACGGTGTAGTCCTTCAATTAATACTAAATAAAGTAAAATTTCATATTTTATTATGATACTCTAGTCTCAGCCCTTGGCAATTTTAATACATTACCAAACTTATCCTTTAGGACTTTCGGGCTCTCTAAACACAGAAAACTAGAACTATCTGTTGCCCTAATTTGTCGTGAAAGCCTTATAAACAAAATTTAATGATTTGTTTGATGATATATTTATAAAGCTAATATATTTAAAATGATAGTAGAATTTCTAAAGGTATTAAAAATAGTTTCTAATTTTTATTTTACTTACGAATCCACACCAGCCCTGGAGTATAGACTGTCTGATACCAACGCCCATGTTAAAATCTTCAGACGTATGATGTACTTGATGCTGTGCCCATAAGATGTGGATCTCTAAAACCAAGTGATTTTTAATAATTGTACAACCACTTAATAACTTATTATTAATACCATAATTAAAGCTGTCTTGTGGGTTGGAGTACTGGGCACTAAAGTTGTTATATATGTCGATTTCATGCCGTTGGTAAAATAAAGTAAGCAAGTAAATAATAAATACGTTAGATGAACATTAAAAGTAGTATAAGTGACATAAAAACTAAGAAGTAACATACTAACACGGTATGCCATGTGATGAGTAGGGATGTTTTGCAAATTTTAGGAATAATGACAAAATGGTGGATATACCATTCGAAAGATGATATGGTTATAAAAAAAAGTAAATATTGAGTTGATTACTGATCAAAAAGTTTGAAAATAATATATATATTGTATCATCTGCAAATGAAACTGTGACAAAGTCAATTATGACGAGTACCGTGGCAAGCTCTGTGCATCCAGTAGTAGCAGAAGTCGACTCCTAGAGCAGCTAAGAACCACGTAGCAGTGTGATTCCATGGTAAATCTATCAGTCTATAATGTGTGTATACCCAAGTGTACAGATATGCTTCCGCACCACGCCAGATTAACCTATAAAATAATTGTTAAACATTAGTTTGGAATTATTGAAAATACTTCAAAAACATTTTAGCAGAAATATATATAACTAGCTTTAAGTTACTTTGAGCAGCATTTCTAACGTATATTTATTCCTTGTATCGTGTAAAATACCTGAAATAAAGTTTCATTCACTATTTAGCATTCTAAGTCTCAGCCCGATCGGTTTAAAATTGACAAAGTTTCATACAAACTTTAATCCTCTATTTTATTCCCTTGGGGGTAGAATTGATCGAAATCCTTTCTTAGCGGAACCCTACGTCATAACATCTACCTGTATGCCAAATTTCAGCTCGATCCGTCCAGTGGTTTAGGCTGTGCGTTAATACATCACTATGTCAGTCAGTCACCTTTGAGTTATATATATTTAGATTAGGGACATACAATAAGCGGATTTGTTATACAGATAGCTATCTCTACCAGACATCCCTTGGGACATATCCTACATAGTAATTTTACTTTCTATGTAACTATTAAATAATAAATGGAGTCAAGTTTTACATTCAATTTTCTTGAGGAAGGTTTACCATCTCTGCTAATTATCTAACTGAAGATAGTTATTTGGCATATAGCGCAGTAGGTAAATCTTCTTAAATTATTGAAAACAATAGAGAGTCATCCCCTCCCCTATTTACCTCTTCAGATACAGAAATAGCTTAAATATTTGAACATGTCGATGAAGAGCACGATATGAGTAAGAGATATTATATCCCAAGTCTCAACAGATTCAGTGTAAATGACCAGTTTATACTAATGTTATAAAGTGGAATTGAATGTTCGAATATTGTTTTTTTTTATTTGCATCGAATAGGTATCGAACTACTGGACCGATTTCAAAAACACTTCCACCTACGAGAAGACATCATACGGGGGTTCCAAAGGCTAATCTTGGCAAACGCGAGGGAAGTTACAGCTAGTCTATACTAATATTATAAAAAGGAAAGATTTGATTGTTTGTTTGTATGTTTTTTTGCATCGAATAGGCTCCGAAACTACTGGTTCGATTTTAAAAACTCTCATCTACGGGTTGACATAGTCTATAATTTATGCATAGGAAGTCTCGGGAAAACAGTATTATATGAAATTGGAAAATAACAAAATCAAGTTTATTTAAATAATCTTACTTCAGCAGAGTAAATTTAAAAGAATCTAATTATTATCTCGTTTCGTTTGTGTCATTAGCGTTTTTGAGACAACGTTTTTTTTTTCAAACATTTTATTTTAACAAAAAGGATCCAATAATTAACGGATCGCGTCTCGTCAAAGTTAATTTTCTCAGTGTCCTTATTAACTTTAAATTTACAAAAAGAGACAGAGAACTTAATGAATATTTAAAAAAGGACTGGATGTTTTTTCTCTATTTCTTTGTTGCTACCGTAACAGTATTTTAATTGGTAACTGGATCAGTTTTATATTTTTATGACGAGGAAGTATATAAAACGCCAATTAGAAATTTGCCAACTTAGTAAGTGATCAACCAAAATTTTTCATCTTATTTTTATTTTAGTATCACAGGTGAATCAACAGTTATTTAAAAGAAAATGTTAACAAATCATGAAGCATAGAACCAATTATAGATTTACACTTATAGAATATAAACTCTGAAACGCACAAACTAATGTATCCAGTAAGAGAATTAAACACACAAAAAATATATTATATAATAATAAAAAACTGATAGAAGTCCTTTCGGTCAAGTGAGCACTTTTACAATATTTTTGATAATACTCGTAAGGTTCAAATAAAGTATAACTAAATATGAGGTATTTGTGATTCCTTTTTTAAGTAGGTATATTCTTTATGTATACTGAAAATTAATAAACATGCGTGTCTTCTTGTTACCTAGGTATGACTTTGGTGGTATATTCCGCGGAATACACATATCCTCGCTCTCTGTCTCATTGATAGATGTTATGATTTATTTCGTTGTAATTAAGTTATTTTCCATTTACGTGCTTTTAATTTACGATACAGATGATTAAATTTGTTAAATTGTATTCTTTGTTTTATATTATATAAATATATTTGGTTACATTAAAGAACTTTAACATCAGCGGATGCCATGTTGTGATATCAGCATTTCCTTGGCTACCGTTGATGTCTGTGTGAATTCAAAACTTATCACCTAAGTGAAACATTTTTACTTTATTACAAGAGTCATTAGAGCGCAGTCTGCCATCATTGGCGGTGTTCCCACGCTTCATTAAATGGAGTAGGGAGTCACTGTTGTGGTCCTAACAATATATAAATATAGCTCTAACACATAAATCTACCAGGCTGAGTGCGATTTGTGGCATAGACGAACCGATCCGACATTTGTTGAACGTTAAAATATTCTATTGGTTCGTAAATTTTAAGTCGGTAGTCCTCGTGAGACTATCTCACTTTTTATCCAAATAAATTACAAAGCATCCTCCATATTTAAGAGTTTAAAATTGGTAGAGAAAATAAGGATGGTTAAAAAATAAGAAAATAAGTTCAAATAGTAGTTATTAGTGTAAATAAAACTTTTTGTAATTTTATAAAGATTGAAATGTTGAGCATACCTGCCGCCTTCTAAGAAGAGTCCATTAGAAATGCTGGTAATGCCATCGTTGAGCCTGATGCCCTTCTTCCCTTCCAGTTTCAGTATAATGTGCTCCAAAATCATGAACATAAGGAAGTAAGGCCATGACTGAAAAATTGTAATGACAATCGTATTACTGTAAAAATTAAGTCGCTGGAATTTGGAATTAGCACAAATAGTAAACAGTTTTTTTGTTAATACTAAAAAAATAAAAAATAAATAATAATATTGACGTTGGAAGCGACAACGCATTGTCTTTAAGCCCGATGTTTCTGATTTCAGTAATATTTGAATATGTTCTATTTTTACATAACCTTACTACGTGTGCCTTATAAAAATTTTGACCAACCGGTGGGCATGCAGTACTTTAAAGTTACAAAGTGATAAAGCTATTGATAAAAATAATGTTACTACTGTATTTATTTAAAAAAGAAATGGTTGGCTTTCACAAAGTTTTTTTTTTAAATAGTTAATTTCGTATAGAACATTCGTGCTAAGTTCTAAATGGGCGTGGAAGCGGATTAGGAGCCAGATTAAAAACGTTGCCGAAGCGCGGCGTCCTGCCTCGCGCCTGCCACTTGCCTATGCAGTATTAATGCAGCAGCGAATATGCAGCATACATAATTTCTATAGTACTTTAATTTATTATTATATTTTAATAAAACGTATGATTTATATGCATATTGTAGCAATGTTGTTGATTACTGAAATCAGAAACATTGAAACCCTGTCCGCTTCGCGTGGAATACCCCTACTGTAATCAAGCAAAATACTCTAAAACCTATAGCTATATCGTAAACCTGAAAATTTTAATTAAAAATTGTAATGTTTTTAAGTAAAATTTTCGGTAAAAGGTATTAAACGTATCTATGCTCGATATTTAACCCCAAAGTCATTAGAGAGCCGCTTATCTGGCCATTATAGTACATTAATCGGCAAAGAATATTGCTTTTAGTATTTTTTTGTACTTTGTTAATTTCCCATAATTTAGGATTAAGTGGATATTGTTTTGAAGGTACAGTATTTTAATATTGTGTTCCCTAATATTTAAAACGTAACAAAGGTTCATTTTTGAAGATTAATTAATGCCTACCGCATATTAAGTTGATAACGAATTAATCTTCCTTCTAATGTATTCCTCAATCACGTCAGGCTCAGTAAAGTTTTATGTTAGTCCCCAGGCAAGACGGCAGATTGTCATTTGATTGCTACCCTTTACTTCGTAACCCGTGACATTTTCCAGATGGCTAATTGTTACGTAAAATTTCGATATTCTTGGGTATATTCGATTATTTTCTCATAATCGTTTTAGATTTAGCTTTGTTTATGTATTTGCATTCAGTTAATTATATTTTAGATATTTTCAAACATGAAATATTGGACACATCTAATTCATATGGTAATTGATTTAAGTACTATAAAATTATAACTGCTATGTCAAAATAAAGAGAAAAAGAAACTGTAACTTACTGGGCTTTGAAGTAAGTGCTTTTTATTTTTCCTATTTTTTTTTAGGTACGTAAAAGGTACGTTACTAAGGAACATACAATACTTTTTAAACTATAACACACTAAATACTGTCTTTTATCAAATTACTAATAAATTAAATTTACTCGGCTTTTATGAAAGAAAAAAAAGTATAGAAATTCAAGCTTAAGATATATTTTTGCATAAATACCGACTAGTTTTCATTATAATTAAAGAAATTAAAAGCGTATTCCCAATCGAAAATTCCGAAAAAAATATAGTCTCATTACAGTGCAAACTGACCTACGATTTTTATATACGAGTATCAATAATCTTAACTGTTACAAATTACACAATCAATTTATTTTCACAAGCCGTTCGACAAATTATCATCAAATTTAACAAAAAGTTTTCATAATTTAATTTTAATAAAAGAAAATGTAGTATTTAAATTTAAATATAAATTAAGATATATCTATTATTAATTTTACTTTATTTATTTTAATCCAGTGTTATAGATTATATTGAGTTGTTATATTAATTTTAAAAACAGAATTTTGGAACAGTATCTCATCATTTACAATCAATTTCATGTAGCTTTATGGGTTAATAAAAATAGTCAGATATATAAAAAGGGTTTTCTAGTTTTATTCTGTTAGTAATCAAGTTCAAACCTTATTACAGAAAGGTGCACTGCTATATGTGCTTAAAGAGATAAAAATATTTTTACCTGTACGTATATGTTAGGAACGCTATCAACATCCTCATATAAATGGTCCTTAGGGCTTACGAGGTAGAACATGCGTCCAACCCCCTTAGCGTATTCCCCTAAGCTCAAAATGGCGTCGTTTTCATAGTAACTTGAGAGATTCATTTTTATCACCACATTCACTTACAAGAGCTCTATGAAAATCCACTTTAAGAACAAAATAAACAAAATATATATTTTTAAACACCGATTTTTTTACTGTGTTAAATGGTTAAATTAATAATAGTTTTTATTTTATTGAATATTGGCACTATACTCAGCGCTTTATGCAACTGCAATATTATATATACCTCTTAATTTCTTATAGCCATGGGTAATTGATGTACAGATTTGTTGGTCAATTAACTCGTTAAAATTAAATTAACATATACTTTTTACAGAAGCTATTTATTATTTCGGCTTCTTGCACAAGAGAATTTAATATTATGTCATATTAGAAATATTTCTTAAAATCGCGGTTTGATTGATACAATTTATTGGTGGTTTTATTAATTAAAAAAATAGTAGCTCTAACACTGCAAATTAAAGGGTAGGGTGGGAAACAATTTAATATTACATCATATTAGAAATATTTCTTAAAATCGTATGTCAATCAGTACCATTTATTAGTGGTTTTCTCAATTAAAAAAATAGTAGTTTTACCACAGCAAATTAAATGGTAGGGCTTAACCAATTATAAAATTAATTGGTTTTGTTTTATGTAATATGCAAGAATTATTTTTTTAATAATTGCTCTTTTTTAAGTTTAAAATTGAAAAATTTCATCAGCTTAAGTTTTAATGAAGTTTTAATGAACGAAGCCTGCAAGAATTGTTCCTTGCGTTGATTTGTATCTGTGCCCTTATTTGATAAATTCTTTCACCTACGCACGGTAATATCATACGCATACACTTATTATAAATGTAAAAGTTTCTTTGTTTGGATGTTTGTTGGTCAATCACGCCGAAACTAATGAACGGATTTTAATGAAATTACAGACAGGGTATTACCTGAATTAGATAATAGGATTTATTAATCCACTTATAGGTTCCCTAGGGCTATCCCTACATCTAAAGAAGGTACCTACATTTTTGTGAACACTGCCTAAACAGTATTAGATATGCGAATGCTTTCTAAAGAAAAGTTGGAGAGCCTTAAATTATCTATAAAAAAGTCCGCGATGTCATATCATTACCATCACCATCACCAGTCCTTTTACGTCCCCACTGCAGGGGCTCAGGCCTTCCTTGTGGATGGTTAAGGAGGATGGGCCATGACCCTCCACGCTGGCCCAATGCGGATTGGAGGGTATTAACGACTGCAAATGCAGCCGGGACCAACGGCTTAACGTGCCTTCCGAAGCACGGAGTAGTTCGAGATAATAATTTTTTTGGTCACCCATCCCGTGACCGACCCTTGCGAAAGTTGCTTAATGACTACGATCGCGGGCCACGGCGCTTATCCACTACGCTACCGTGTGCAAAGGTTTTGCCACAAAAATAAAAAGAACTTCGTATAAGTGTATTTCAATTTTTCGTCCGTCTTTAAACGTTCATTTGAGTAGGTGGTATTAAATCCTTATCGACATAAATATGTTTATCGTCGAAGAAATTTAATATACATTAAAATTGTCTTTTACACCATTTACGATTGGATGACTAGTTTAGATTTTACTACGATGTTTTTCAGAAAAGAAAATAACGTATATTGCCGATTTTCTAAATACTATTTTGTGTACATGTGTGTATTAAGGTTAAACATAATTTTTAATATAATCGGTAATATTTAGTCTCATTAATTATTCTTATTTTATTTTGAAACTTATGCCCGGGAAGCGCAAATCTAATCTATACATAAGAACGGATTTTGTGAAATTCCATTCCGAAGGGGGTCAAAAAGGGTGAAAAATTTTGTATGAAACTTCTTTCTTTATGGACTTATGTGGAAGAAAGTAGGTATTTGGGTAGTTTGTGACCCTAGAAAGGTAATGGGTTATATTTTATACCGAAGACTTGCACTTAAAGGAATAAAAATGGGAGTAAAAGATTGTATGGGGAATCAAAATGTTACCACAGCAACCATTGTTTACAATCTGATTTATCATTTTAATAAAATTACCTAATATTATTTAGAAAATATTTTATTGTATAGCGATGAGAACTGGTTTTTGAGTAAATATTACACTTTTGATATTTTAATAGAAAAAATATTCAAATTCAAGTTATTTTGTTTACGAAAGATTTTTTTTTTCCATTTTTTCTATATATATGACCTACACAAGATGGCGTTAAATGAATTCTAAATCACAGTTTTTTTTTGGCTAGAAAATTTACCTAGAATAACTTTTCAGCCAGCTGATGGCGAGTATATTTTAAATCGTGATATTATTTTGATTAAAGAACTTTGTACAGGCTTTAAATCAAAAACATTAAAATGTTGCTCCAAGTTTAGATTAAAGAAATTGCAATTATTTGTGTTTCGTCAGTAATTAATTTATTGAGGATTGATAGGTCTTAACCTGAGATTTTCAAGTTGATAATTTTTACAAAGGGTTTAGCCGGATACGTATGACGAGTCGGCCCCCAAATGGGAATCGATATTGAAACTTATGTTTTAATATAGACTTGATGTTCAAACACGATTTATGTACTTTTCGCGACCGACTTCCGCTTTGACCTTGAGATAGAGAGCAAAATATCCGTATGCTTGACTATTACTGAATGTGATATATCTCTGAAGCTAATTAAGATAAAGAAGTGAAACTAACGCGAGGTGTTAGGTTACATTACAGAGTATATCACATATATTTTTTTATAATTTTTAGAATAAAAAATTACATTAAAAAAATAAAAATCAAAAAAAAACATGTTTTTTTTTCTGAGTTCTCTGTGACTTACAATCACGAAATTAATATATGTTATGCTCCTTTGTGTGCTCTATCACCCATAAAAATTGCGTGAAAAAAAAGTTGGTGCAACACAACGAAAAAAAATTATATGTGATTCGCGCCTTGTAGTGTGAGTGTATAAACAAACAAGTTCGAACTTGTTATCGAGCTGTTTACTGCATCGTTTGTTTAGCTAAAGTAGCAGTCATTTGTATTACACAAGAAGGCAGTTTGGGACTCAAATTCTGTCATAAGTATTTTATATCAGCATTTTGAAATTATTAACTATCGAACCAAATCATTATTAAGTAATAATGTCGAAAAAGTGTAAAAATTGTAACAAGTACCTGTGTAAGATTCCTGGTTATAAAAAAATTATAAAGAATGAAGAAGAAGCTAAAGTGTTTAGTGACTGTTTGAATAAAATCGTAATAGTTAATGATATTTTTTGTGAGAAGTGTCGACTTATCCCATATATTAACAAAAAAGCTTCTACTTCTAAATGTGCAGCATTTAACTTGGCCGAAATAATGGACGATCAAAATAATCTCTCAGTACAATATGTGAAATCAGCACCTAATATCATCAAAGCAGAAGTGAAATCAAGACATATAAATAGAAAAGTCTATCGAATTTACATTCACTATATTTCCGAAAGTAATGACTACAATAGTATTCTTCGTTATTGCTGTGATTGCCCCAATGGCAAACGTACAGTGGGATGCTGTTCTCATGTAGCAGCTATTATTTATTATCTATCATATGGATGATATTTGTCCAAAATCGTACGTCCTGCTGAGGTCCTAACTAAGTTATTTGCGACTCAAAGTGTTCCGATTGTAATTAATTACAACAGTGACGATGATGGGTCATTATTAGGAGACTCATTATTTGGTTGACTTCGGTGGCAATATATTTTTTTATAGGTTTGGTATTATTAACATTATGTATCAAATCAATATTTAATTTAAAACATTTTAGTAGTAAAGGGAACCACATATACCAAATATATAAGAAGGAATTCATTTTTAAAAAAATGGTGTCCACCGAAATCAATATTCTTAGCACCGAAATCAAATATATCAAATAATTTATTTTCTGTAGATTATTTTTCTTCTATAAATGTTTATTGCTTTAGTATAAATTTGAACAAAGTGTGAGAAATTACTGGTAAATTTTTCAGTAAAACATTTTTTTATATCGAGATTATATCCCATTTATTACGTTATAAAATTTAACAAAAATCAACTCTGGAAGGAAGCGTTAAATTATTACGTTAACTGTAATTAAAAATAGTAGGCAGGCTTAAACTAATAATATTTTCTATAATGTCACATTAAGGCAAGAAAGAAGGCAAACACTATCGAATATATTTGCCTACTATACTTAAAAATATCTGAATTATTTGGTGAGATCTAGCATAATCACAGACGATTAACTTAATAATAAAAATGACTACAAAAATCACTTCAAATCAGACTAACAACAACATCAACAATTAAACAATAATATTTGTAAACATTAAAAATATAAGGTTGCCTTTGGATTTAACATAATTAAAAGAGTTTTTAGGTATATTACGTACTTACAACAACTTATACAACCTACTGAAGTTAAATACTGAATTTTAAAAAAGGGAGCCGTCACAGGACGCCTGGCAGATGTGAAACATTGTGTTCGGTATATATACACCTTAGTATAGCGTGGCGATCCGTCGCCACGGCAAGCATCGCCACACCAACGATCCGGTTTATACCTTTAGACGTTTCACATCAAAAATGTTATATTCCTCGTCACTGCTATCTTTGGAATTTAAAATATTGGAGAATACATCATTCATTACTGTCGGAGCAATGTTTTCACAATCTGTCGAAACACGCGTCCAGAAGCTATCATTTTCATGCAATTCAATATCTGATGTTAAGGTATGGGACAAGCGCTGATTGGAATCATAGAAGTGATGAGCAAGATTAGCAGAATAGCTACTGCCAGGTTTAATTAGAATGTTTGATAAAATTTCAGGTTTATTAGATTTGACGCCACTCCCTTTTTTAGCTTGACTTGACGTTTTAGTCAGACCAATCTTATCACTCTTGTTCTTGTTGGTTCTATCAGCCAGCACTCTGTTAGTTTGCTTGCCAATTATGTATAACCCTAAATGATAGCCATGTTCACACGAAGCTGAATTATTCTTACAGTCGCCTTCGGCACAACTCATTTTTCTCATAGATAGTTGGTT